GGGGTGGGTGGGGGAGGCAGCGCGGAGAGGAGGAGGAGAAGGAGGAGGAGCGGCAGGAGGAGGAGGAGGAGGAGGAGGAGGAAGAAGAAGAAGAAGAAGAAGAAGAAGAGGAAGGCCAGAGAAAACCCAAAATGCGCCGACCCGGCCAAAATCCCCTCCCCATGAAACCCTAAACGTATTCATCTCCACTGCGGGAAGCGCACCCCCGGCATGACGAGCGCCCAGTGAGCTTGCAACTCGGGCGAGACCCTGTTTTGTGAGGGATCTGCCCTCTGTCATTCGAACTGGAAAAACGCGAAGGGGTAGGATGACCAGGTTCATGCTCGAAGAAGTATCCAGCGGTAACCTTGCTTTGTACAGGATCTGCCCTCCGTCCGTGCCAGTGCTGCACAACAACCTGAAGTTACGGTCAAAAGAACCTCCATGTTGAAAATCAGTCGCCTCCTTCTCCTCCTCCTCTTCCTCCTCCTCCTCCGCCTCCTCCGCCTCCTCCTCCTCCGCCTCCAGTTCCTCCTCCTCCTCCTCCTCCTCCTCCGCCCTCCATCCATGTAACTGTTGAACAATGTTGAACTTTGGCTCGTGGAATATGGCTACGGCTCAACCGAAAGCCGCATGTTGAAAGCGTACCAGCCTCCATCATTGCTACTGTTGGTTTTCTTCGAAAGGAATGTGCGCGGCGCTCTTGCGATGGCAAATGTTTGAGCACCACTGGCCCTCCGCCCATGTAACGCTTGGAGCTGGTTAGGTTCAAGATGACGAACTGCGAAGACCTGTCAAGCGAAACGCCTGACCTACGCACACACCCAATACAACAGGCAAAATATGCACGCAAGTTATATCCAAGGAGCGATGCGGGATGGGGGAGTGGCACGGCCAAGCCTGAGACAGAGTAACACCCTTCAAGGACACGAGACCCTCCACCGGCCCTGACTGAAGATCACTCGATGGGTACCCTCCCCCAGGATGCACAAGAACGTCCCACAAGCACGAGAACATTAGGGCACCCTCCCCGAGCCGACCTCGATCTCACACCTCGGCCTGGCCGCAACAGGAGGGGCGGGGCCCGCACCCCGTGCTCGGCGGCGCCGCGGGGCACGAGGCGCCCTCTGAAGAGAGGCACTCCCTCGAGTGCCGGGTGCCTCTCCGCGGCGCTGCCGAGCCCGGCAGGCAGAAGACTGCCCACGCCTCCGCAGCTGCAGGAAAGCGGAACCCACTTCCTGAATGGAGTCCAAAAGCCTGGCGCCCGCGTCACGCACCCCTCCGCCCTTCCGCTGCCACGCCGGCGGCACAGAGAACAGAGAGCAGAGGAATGGGGGGGACGGGGGGGGCAAGGACAACGAGGACGAGCAGGTCCGCAAGCCGCAGGCCCCCTTCGGAGAAGGGGCAGCTGGAACGGGCCAGGTACCTTTTACAGGTTGAAGTAGGAAGCAGGGAAGAGGGGCGAAGGAGAGGAGGCGAAGGGGGAGGGGGGGGGGGAGGGGGAGGAAGAGGAGGAGGAGGAGGAGGAAGAAGAAGAAGGAGGAGGAGGAGGAGGAGGAGGAGGAGAAGGAGGGGAAGGAGGGGAAGGAGGAGAAGGGGAGGACGAGGAGGAAGGAGCATGAGTAGGCGAAGGAGGAGGTGGAGGAAGAGGAGGATCCAGGATGAGGACCGAGGAGGACCGAGCGGGGAAGCCGAGTAGTGTGGGGGGGAGGAGTTCGGAGTAGAGAGGGCGTAGAAAAGGATGATGAGGGAAGGCGGGAGGAGGTAAGAGGGAGGGGCTGGGTTCTGGAGGAGGAAAAGGAGGAGGAGGAGGAGGAGGAGGAGGAGGAGGAGGAGGAAAACGATTATGATGCATCTGAGAAGGATGAGGAGGGGACTGGAGGTTGAAGGGGGGGGGAGATAAAAATGAATGAGAAGAGGATTCGGCAAACAAGGAATACGCATGACGGACGACGAGGAATGAAAATAAGGAGAGGACGGGGAAGCGAAAAGGAAAGTGGGAAAGACTGGTATGCGGAAGAAGGAATTAGGAAAGTCTATATAAAGAGGAGACGGGGGAAGACGAGGGAAGACAAAGAGGACGAAGATGAGGTAGTTTTTCATAAGCACGCCAACGGCCGAAAGCGGGACGCCGACAGGTTCTGGGTACCCCGTCCCGCGCCAGAAGCCGAAAGGGAAGGGTTTCGTCAAACCTGGGACTTGTCCTTCTTCTCTTCCTCGCTGTATTCCATATCTGACTCTACCACTACCCTGCAAAATGATGATGGAAGACTCCTATCTTCACACCATTCCCTTGCTTATAAGATGGACCACCCACCCGTGCCGCAAAACGGTTTGGCACTGCACACCCGCACCGCAAGCAAAGATGCGGCACCGCATTCATGACAACGGAGAATACCAGGGCCCCCAACCAGCCAGGGATGCCACGGCCCATGAGGTGCAATAATCCCTCGATTTTCTCCGTGGCGCCAAAGTCGAGCTTGTCTCTTTGTTGAGCACGCGTGAAGATACCAGCAAGCACCTCGCACGTGCATTGTCCTAGGTATTTGTACAATCTAACTACTTCTGTAGCCAGCTTGACGAATTACTTGCGCCACGAAACAAATCCTCGTGCACTTAGTCGGCGGAAGGCTCCTACCTTCACACTCTGACTTTGACCATGGTCGTAGAACTGGATTCTTCGCGCACCCGATCATGCGATCATGCCGCATAGCTGCTACACAATGCGTGTTTGCGCGAAAAACCGCCACGCGTCGCAACACTGACGGCACAGGAAAAAATCGCCGGCGCGGCAAGCCAAAGGTGTGTTAGGATCCCGGGTCAGAATTTCTCATCTTACTTGTTGGCTATCCCCCAAGCAACTTGTCTGCAAAAGTCCTCTCTGCTTCGAATGGGGGATCGACTGCAGAATTGATCTGCCCCCGAATTGCGTTATTCGTCGAATCCATGGATCATGTCACGTAATCCTCGCAGATTCGACGAGAAAACCAAAATCAATTCTGGGGTGAATCAATTCTGGCAGTCGACACGCCACTCGATCATTTCATCTACGGCCAGTGGGGGCGCTGCCGGACCCCGACGCCGTAGCCCCGGGGTCTCCGGTCGTGGCCCGTGGTGTGTGGTGTCGGGTCGGTGTCTCTGGTCCGTGGTCCGCGGTCTCTGGCTGCGGCCCGTGGTCTCCCGGTCGTGGTGTCTGGTCGTGGCACGTGGTCTCAGGTCACAGACAAATCGGGGACCTTCTGACCCGGGTCAATCCAGACCCGGGTCAGCAGGAAACCAAAAACTGCAATGCAGGACAAAAAAAACTGCAGCGCAGATCCTCGCAGACCCGGGTCAGCCAATACGCGCGGCCGGCGGGGCGCACTGATACCCCCCTGCCCTCCCTATCGCAAGTCTCTGCTCGTTCTGCGCCCGTCGCGTCTGGAGAGTCCGATGTGGACCGAGAAGAACGGCCGTACCATAACCCTCGTGTCCGAATGTTGAAGATCTCATCAACTTGTCCGCTGATTCCCCTCAGCAGGCCGTACGAGTTGATGAACTCAGGGCGGCATCTTGGTAATGGCGAGCTTTTGCGCGCGCAGACAATCTAGCACAGTGTTTGCGAAAAGCTAGTTTCGGATGCATCTGTGATTGAAGAGCTCGGTCTTGAAATGTTTGGGCAACCTTGAACACGCGCGAACATGTGGCCCGCCTGGTATTGTGTCATCGGGATTCGCCACATAGATTTACATCATGTCCACCACGTAAAATTATGTACGAGGGATCGTGCCCAGGCCACATACGGCGGACCATCAAATGGTACGATTTCGGACGGGCATGGAGCCCATAAAACAAATGAAAGCGCGTAGGAGGAACATTCCTGGGGCCGGATCCGATCCGATTAGCTAATAGGGAAGCACATCATCAACATAACAAGTGGCAAATGCGCTCCCAGGCTCATACAAAAATCATGGGGGTCACCGATGAGGTTGCCACAGCTTTCGATTAGACGAAATGTTGAGAAACACCTATGTGGGAATGGAGGGGCGGTTTGGAAAATTGTATTATATACCTAATGTTTGGGATGTCCCGATCGAAACGGCCAGTGAGAACGGAGAAGACTTTAAGTATTCGCCTCTGAGCTCTACTCCCTTCGAGAGGCGCGTACGATAATTTCTCTCGGTAGAAATATATACACATGGTACTTTAAAAAAGCTAACTCAGGGTGTTCTGCCACTAAAGGTGGCAAACTCTAATTCGCGCGCGCGAGTATGGTGGCCCCTGTGGGGCCCACACGGGGAAAAAGTACGGGCAAATCCGCCCATGGATGCTGGATTTTCTGGGCGTGGCCTCCAAGCAACTGCAGTAATTCCAAGACAGCCCTTCAGATGTCCCTATCTCACAAATCACAACGGTTCTCAATCATGTTGGCTTTCTCGCCTTTTCGATTCCAATGGGCTTCTGCGGCCTCACGGTAGCTCCAATGTTGACGAAGCTCGCTCCAAGAGGAGCCCAGAAAAGCTCAAAGATGGCTCCGATCGTCCCACAGAGCGCCCCAGAGCGAAGCCAGAGGGTCCCGAGAGGGCCCAGGAGCGGGGAGCCATGGGTGGCAGGCCACAGGATGGCCCCAGACAGTCCCAAGATAGCCCCAAAGTGGTCTAAGTTGCTCCAAGACAGCCCCCAACCGGCCCCAGGAATCCCCGAACAGCCCCCTGGGAAAATTCCAACCGTCTCCCAGGGGCAGCCAGGGGTCCCCCCAAGATGCCCCGACAGCCTACGACGGAGCTCGGCATGGCATTAACGTCTCGATGCTTATAATGATTCTTGCCTTCTCGTGTTCTCGGGCTTCGGTCATGACGCGTGGGGGACGTATTTCGTTGAGTCTTGATCTCGAGCTACCCAGCGATTGCTTCTCCCCCACGCGAGCTTCTCACGACTGTTCATGAAAACTGCCACACGCAGTAAGTTTACAGCCGCCACGAGCACACAAACAGATGGATGGCAGTGGTGATGCAATACGGGCCAGCGGAATGCGCGAAGCGGTTGAATGAACATAGTACGAATTACGCCACGACGGACAAAGCCACACCGAATTCAACGCCATGAATTACGAGGGAAAGACCTTGACGGCTCAACGAGGGCTGACCTGAAATGCGGTGCGAGCGGACATTAAGCTTGCAGAACGAGTCACCTCTCCACTCAGCCCTCCCACTGGCCCAACGCACAGACATGCGTATATACATGTACTCGCTGAATGTCCAGGGCTCCCCAACGCTTGGCAAGAAGCCACGTGCAGATATACAAGAACATAGGGTAATCAACAAGCGCGTCCGCGCATGCGTATCTACACAATGTACAGACAAGAGGCGACCAAACGTGGCATAATGCAAATCGCGGTAATGTACGTGGGCCCTAGCCCTAGCAGGAACAGTACCCGGAAAATGTATCGCAAGTGAACTGAAACTTAAAATTTATTCAAGAGAGAACCTAAAAATGATTCAAGAGAAGGCCATCACATGCTTGTGCCGGAAAATGGCATTCCCCGTACCACGCCTGATAAACCAACAATCCAGACTGTCTCATATCAAGCTCTGTCATGCCACTCTGTCGAGAGAGACTTGCCGGAATCGAATTGGTTGATTGGCTGACGCTTGCAGCGCCGAATTACCCCGTGCAGAGTTGCGAAATGCGGTGCAACTCACAACGACGGTATCACCTGGACGAAGCCATCCCTCTCGAATCCCGCCCGCTGAACCAGCTCACATGTGCACGCATCTCCGCTTCAAGCACAGACTTCCTCCATGGAGAGAATCAGGGCACCGACGTGTCCCCGCACCTATGAACATCATTTACAAGGCGACACATCCACGTGCCCCTGCATATCCGCCTCAGTGCCCACCTGGCACGCTCAGGCATGGTAGGATGCCATGTGCTGTCTGGCAAGATTTCTGTACAGTAGGAGCCCGACCACAAGAAACCTTCCACAAGAAACCCAACCCTTAGACCCGAGGATGTCCATTAATCTGGTGGGAAAATGTACGGTTTGCATAGCAAAGCCATCGACATCCAAGAAACAGGGCACCCTGTAGGCAAGCAAGGTGTTTCTTGGCATGGGTCTCTACTGTACTCGTCTTCCAAGAGACCCCCCCAACTCCCGGTAGCGCTAGCTGCATGCACCACCCCCCCTCATCATCATCATCATCATCATCATCATCATCATCATCATCATCATCATCATCATCATCATCATCATCATCGTCATCGTCATCGTCATCGTCATCGTCGTCATCGTCATCGTCATCATCATCATCACCATCACCATCACCATCATCATCAGCATCATCATCATCAACATCAGCAACAACATTATCACCAGCATCAGCATCAGCATCAGCAGCATCAGCATCACCATCATCATCAGCATAATCAGCAGCATCATCAGTATCATCACCGTCAGCATTAACAGCATCAGCAACATCGTAATCAACTGCAGCATCATCAGCATCATCATCAACATCATCCACGTACACACATGCATCATCATCAACAACAGTAACACCATCACCTTCATCATCACCGTCAGCTGCACCATCATCATCATCATTATCGTCAGGAGCAGCATCATCACCATCATCAGCATCATCATCACCATCATCATCATCGTCATCATCATCAGCATCACCATAATCAGCACCATCACCAGTATCATCACCGTCAGCATTAACAGCATCAGCAGCATCGTAATCAACTGCAGCATCATCAGCATCATCATCAGCATCATCCACATACACATACGCATCATCATCAACAACAGTAGCACCATCACCATCGTCATCACCGTCAACTGTACCATCATCATTAGCATCAGGAGCAGCATCGTCATCACCATCATCATCATCATCATCATCATCGTCGTTGTCGTCATCATCGTTATCAGCAGCATCATGATCGTCACCATCATCATCTTAGTCATCATCATCATGATCAACATCATCATCATTAACATCATAACCACCATCAGCAACACCAGTATCATCATCGTCAGTGTCATTGTCAGCATCGTCATCATCCTTATCATCAACGTAATCATCATCATCAGCATCGTCATCGACGTCGTCATCATCATCAACATCATCATCATCAGCAGCATCATCACCACCTTCATCATAATCATTACAGTCGTCAGTTTCGCCATCGTCATCGTCATCGTCAACATCAATATCATCACCACGAACGTTACCTGCATGATAAACAGCATCGCCAACATCGGTATCCTCATTGTCACCGTCATTACTAATGACACACTCGTCACTTACCACCGTCGTTTATGATCATCCGAGTCAACATCATAAACATCACCACCGCCGCAAACAGCATCACCCTTTTCATCGTCACCATCACCACCCAAATCACCATCTTCGTCATCAGTATCACCATCGGCTTTGCTACCATCATCACCAACAGCATCATCATCATCATCATCATCATCATCACCAACATCATCATCATCATCATCATCATCATCATCATGATCATCATCATCATCAACATCAACATCAACATCAGCAGCATCATCAGCATCATCAGCATCATCAGCATCATCATCCACATCATCACCATGTCCACCATCAACACGACGCGGAATAATGCATCACGTGTCATGGATCTCCCAAACCTCGGAACACGAGGCATCGCACGTTACGGTCTCCCGTGGCCCCTCGAACTATGGCCACCGAGACTGGTGGGCTGGCACGGTGGCAGGACTCGTCGCAGGCAGCTGGATATACATTATTTACAAAAAAGCTGGCCTTCATGCCCCCGCTCACCTCCCCCTCCACACGTGAGGAGGATATCGGAGAATGGTCAGCCGTCACCAACAACATCTTGCTGAAAATCGCCTGCTTCCCAACTGATGGGAGGAGCAGAACCCGTGCACACCTGGCAGGATCCCGCAACGAATGCCACGTGCCCGCTCTGGAGTAGCCAAGCTAGAACTACTCGGCTCTCGGATCCGCTGCTCGAATGGTGCTGTGGGATGCCTTGTGGGCCGTGCCGTCTGGTGCCGTGCCGGATCCATTGGCCGCGTGATGCCGCGTGGTGCTGTCTCGGATGCATTACCTCGTGGCCTTGTGGTGCCATGCGGTGCCGTAAGTATGGTTTGCCTCGGAGAAGTTGCCCGCGTGCTCGGCTCAGGCTTCCGAAAAGCCTCGAGGACGCGCCCAAGAAGCCAGCCAGAGGCCTCAAGAAGCCCCCAAAGGTCCTCAAGAGACTCTGAAGAAGCCTCCACGACGGCAGAACGGCGCGGCAGGCCAGCACGGCAGACGGCCAGGGCAGGCCGGCCAAGGCCCAGACTTTACGCGTTCAGGACGTACACCCCACGAAGCGAGAGGAATCTCGGATACTCTGCCCGATTGGCACTTCAGGAGGTCGCGTCGAACCCGTTGCCCGCATGGTGCCGTCTGCGGCCGTGTGGCTGGTATCACATCCATGGCCTAGGTGGTGCGATGTGAGCGACGATCAGAAACGGGTCTTACGCGAGATGACGTCGCGACCTTACGCCGTAGCTTACGCGGGCTGCTAGCGCAGCACGCCACATTGGAGACGAGAGCGCTTACGCGCAACCTTACGCGGGCAGTTTACGCGCCAATGTCGGTGAAGACGACCCTGTTTTTCTGCGTCGCTCATGCGGTGCTTACTTAGGGCGTATCTGGCAGGCTGTAATGTGTGCGGGTGGGTAGGCCGCTCGAAGCCTCGCTGCAAGGGTTTTTCCTGCCAGAAGACACACTGGTGCAAATAGATCAAGCCAACGAAACCGGCTCCTAGATGCGTCTGGGTTCCGACCGACAATGCCCACATCAATCTCAATACGCGGTCGAGTCGCACAAGAGGGAGCGTGAAGGTGGTACTGCAGCTACTACAGGAAAGGTTGACGACACGCGCACCTGCTCGAACTCCCATTACTGATGCCATATGTGACCCACGACCTCTTCCTTCCCTCAAGGTGTAGACGTGCGTTCTCCCAGTGTCCCGCGCGTTCGCCAGGAGCGCTGTTTGCCTTCCTCCTCCTCCTCCTCCTCCTCCTCCTCCTCCTCCTCCTCCTCCTCCTCCTCCTCTTTCTGTCCTCCTCCTCCTCCTCTTCTGGCCCCTCCGCGCTCTTTGTCACCCGCTCTCGCCGCTGGGCTCTTCCTCTGGATGGTAGAAAAATGCACTCTGGCCCTTGAGCAGGAGGCGTTCGCAATGACGACCTGCTGCTCTGCTCGCTAGTCTTTGAAGACCGGGCGCGTGCCACCAAGACTGGGCCAGAACGACCAAAGCGATGCGTTGTCTCTCTGCTGGGGCGATCGCAGAGTGGAAGCTGGGGGAACAGATCCCTCGGCATATCTCCTTGGACGCATTCTGCCCACGATTCTGGGGTGAATTCCTGCCGTGGCGACTAGGGCCCCCCAGGAGACCCCAAAGGCGAAACCAACAGGAGAGCATCGGCACAGTCGGACCGAGGACACAACAAAATCCTGCAAGGACGTGAGACCGTCCGCCGGCCAAAACATCCCAAGCCAGAAGATCACTCGAGGATACCCTTCCCCAGGATGCACATGAACACACGACAAGCACGAAAAACATTACAGTGGAAACCCATGCCAAGAAACACCCTGCTTACCGCCAGGGTGCCCTGGATTTCTTGGGTTTTGATGGTTTTGCTATGGGAAGCGTGACGATCCCCCACCAAAAATCGGTGGACGTCCTGGGGTCTCAGGGTTGGGTTTCTTGTGGCAGGTTTCTTGTGGTCGAGCTCCTACTGTAGGGCACCCTAAGCGAACCGACCTCGGCCTTACTTACATCGGGCGGGTGGTAACGGGGAGGTGCCCTAAATGGGGGGTGACGAAAAAGGGCCCCCAAAGGGCCCCATTTTCTCCACCCCCCCATTTAGGGCCTGGATGCATTCGCCGCTGGTGACCTCCCACCTCTCCCGCCTCTCCCTCCTCCTTCCGGCCCTTCGGGCAGGGCGGAATTTACACCTACTGCTTCGGACTCCCCCTTCCTTCTCTTCCTCCCGCGCTCCACTGTAGGGTACGGTAGGTTCGTGCGGCGTTGGCGCGCACAAGGGTTTTTGACACCGCGTCGATCGTTCAACCTTGAATCGATCGCGAACCCGACCGTTCAAGGTTGAATTCCGTCTGGTCTAATGGCGTTACCGTGTCCATCGGTGCTGCCGCGTCGCGGAATTCAACCTTGAACGCCTTCGCCAACGTCGCTGGCGCGCCAACGCCGCGTGAACCTACCGTACCCTCCCCGACACAACCTCGACCTTACACCTCGGTCCGACCCTATCGGTACGTTTCTGCCCCTCCGAAAAGAAGAATGGCCCGATGCCGCCGAGGCGTCCCTGCGCCGATCCGCGCTGCCCCCGCCCCGAGCGCGCGCGCGTGGAAGCGAGAGAGGAGACGGCGGCCCGCCGACCAGCCAGGTGGAGGCCGGGCCCTCGCTGGCTCGAGGGCTCATTGAGAGAGACAGAGATCGTGTCGGGAGGAGGGGCCGGCACATCCTCCTCCTCCTCCTGCTCCTCCTCCTCCTCCTCCTCCTCCTCCCTCCTCCTCCTCCTCCTCCCTCCTCCTCCTCCTCCTCCTCGTCCTCCTGCTCCTCCTCGTCTCCTGCTCCTCCTCCTGCTACTCCTCCTCTCTCCCTCCCTCCTCCTCCTCCTCCTCCTCCTCCTCCTCCTCCTCCTCCTCCTCCTCCTCCTCCTCTTCCCTTCAAATCTTGGTGTTGCAACTTTTTCACTTTCGCCCGGCTTCGGGCCTCGGGACCCTCACATATCGATCCTGCTCGAAAAAAGTAGCAGAAGAATTGGGTCTAGGGCTCTGGTCGTCATGTTTACGATGTTTCAATTTCTTCGCGGCGTCGGATCTCAGGGGGTATGGTGTTGGGATGAAGGGGTTGGGAAGACACGGGGCACGACTGTGTATTAATAAGCACGATCGACACACGCGAGAGTACGGATGCTCAGATCCTCTCTCCCAGCCCCATCCTCCCAACCTCGATAACTGTCTCTCTGGCTGGGCGGACCGTGCAAAAGTTGAAAGGTTAAATCGCGCCTATGTGTAAAAACAAATATCGCACATCAGCGCTGAGGCAGCCAGAGGGCGGGAGAGAATGAGGCCGGTGAGCGCCGCAAAGACGGGCGCCCACGGGTTATCCTGGGTCTGCTTCGACCGCTCCTCCTACTGTTGGTGCTGCTGCTGGCGGTGCTGCTGCTCCTCCTCGGACTTCTTCTTGCGCTGGAGGTTCCTGAAGATGCGAGGGTGGACGTGGCGACGGGAGCCTTTGGCCAGGCTGGCCTGGGGCTGCACAGCGCCAGCTCCTGGCGTTGCTCATGGCTCATGGAAGTTCGATCCTTGGTCCTCGCCCACCCCCTCGAGAGACCGCGCACAACCGCTGGGGGGGGCTCAACGCTAATGGCGTCTGAGACGCGTGACGGGCGCCGCGGCTTCACTAATCAAAACTGATGAGTGTGATCAAAATATTTGTGTTGCTCGTCGTTTTGTGATTATTTGGTGATGGAGGAAGCCCCAGCTAGCCTCAAAATCGGCGGCGAGCCATGGGGGGAAGTGAGAAAGGGCGGGCCTTATCAGAAGGCTCAGAAGTGCCCCGGCCTTCCGAGAAGTTTTCTACGCCTTCCCCGAAGACACCACAAACCTCTCAGAAGGCCGTAAGGGCTTCTGAGAAGTACGGCCGCCTTCCGAGAAGGCCTTCTTCTTCTCACTTCCCCCCCCTCGCTCGCCGCCGAGTGTGGTTCTTGGGTTATGGATGATGCCTCCAGCGACCGTTCGCCGCTGGGCACCACCGGAACGCCCTCGACGAGGCGCAGCTGCTGGCAAGCATCCCGAGGCTGGACAACCGCCGAGAACCGACGAAACCGGCCGAAGACCTCCAAACTCGAACCTGGAACCCTCCGTCGCCGCCCAATTCTCCCCCCTCGCTCGCCGCCGAGACGAGCCCCCAGGGCAGCACGGGGCTGCCTCGCCAGGGCGCCCCGCTGGAGGCGGCGCCGGGTGCCGAGAGGGACCTCCCTGGGCCAAGTACCCCCTGTGCAGGGATGAGTAGTCCCCAAACGTGGTGACAACACCTGGAGGTGAGTCTCGGGCGATGTGGTGTCGCCGCCCGGTTCGGGGACTCGTGCGGTCTTCCGAAGATGTCCTGAACGCGGGCGGGCCCAGGAGTCACAACACCCGGCGGTGACCCCGGGTTCCAGAACCCGGCGGTGGGTATCTGGGGGTTCCGGGTCACCGCCAGACATCTCGCCGCCTGGTCTTGGGGCTCCCAAGGGGAGGGGGGGGGCGCGGGGAGGCCTGCCGAGGCCGGCCGGCGGGGAGACGTGAGACTTTCTGGCTCAGGGGCCTTCGAGTAGGGGAGCGACTGCAGAGTTCACTTACCCCAAAATGAATCCCACCAGCCCTCTGGGCATAGGAGGTCTAGGGCGCTTCCTCTTCCAACCTCCTTCCCCTTCGGGGAGGGGTTTACCCCTCCCCCCTCCCCCCTCCCCTGGACCTGGACGGGGCGCCCCGCAAGGTGTCAGAGGGTACTTTTTCGCCCAAGACGGCTCCGAGACCTCCAAGGAGGCCTCCAAGAAGCCAAAATCTTTCAACAACCTAATGAAAGTCCATGATTTGTGCTTTCTCGCCTTGACGCTTCCGATGGCCATCCGAGGCCTCGAGATGGCTCCAAGATGGCCCAAGAGAGCCCCATGAGAGGCCCAAGAGAGCCCCCAAACGGCCCCAAGAGCGCCCAAGAGCGCTCCAAGAAGGGTCCAGGAGGCGATTGTCGATGCTCCCGAAGGGGGAGGCTAATTACAGCTCCCCTCTTTTTTGATCGATGTCCTCCAAGATGGCCCCAAGAGCGCCCCTGAAGCTCCAAAAAACGCCCCAAGAGGGCCCCAAGAGGCGCCCAGACGGCCCCATGAGGCCTCCAAGAGGCTCTAATCGATCCCCTACTCGAGGACTCGGGTTGGCCTGACGGGGCCATCAGGAAACTTGCCATCGCTCGGACGTCCATTCCCCGTACGTTTTTCGCTTTCGTGCCTGTATTGTTTCGCGAGACGAGCCTAGATGCTCCTCGATGGTCCTCGCCGAGAAAAAACTGCATACGCCCGAGCGATGTCGAAGAACATGACGAAACCCAATCTGAAATTTGACGCCGGCTCCCGCTGCAAGCATCCCTCGAAGACTGGACCGTCAGATTCCAGGACGGGCTTGCCCAAAAGGGTCTGCAGAGGCCTCCCGGATGGGCTCCGAACAGATGGGGTCGGAGGATCGCGCCGCATCGCCGATATATCGCCGATGCATCTGTGATGATGCATCGGCGACGTCGGCGCGGAGACCATCTGGCCCCACGTCGACCTGCATCGCCAATGCATCGGTACGCGGCGCGATCCTCTGGCCCCATCTAACTCGGACCCCATATGAGCGATGAACAAAAACGAGTATTACGCGAGATGGCACCGCGACCTTACGCCGCGGCTTACGCCGGTCGCCAGCGCGGCACGCTACATTGGAGACGAGGGCGCTTACGCGCGACCTTACGCGGGCAGCTTGCGCGCGAATGCCGGCGAGGACGACCCCGTTCCTTGGCGTCGCTCACGTGGGAGGCCCATAGACAGCCCCACCTCTCCCCGAACCTGGGCCTGCCCGCCGAAGACAAGCGCGTTCCACTACTCGCAGAGTAACTGCTCGCAAGTGGCCTGGATCTGCCGCGGGGGATTCACGATCCATCTCATCGAAGCACGCGTGTGCTTCTGCTTTCAGACGCCTGCGAGCAGGCCATCTGCGAGTAGTCGAGCGCGCTCGATGACTCCTGGGGGGACCGCCTGCTGTAGGGCGACGAGATCTATGCACATCCACTGCTCCTGGCCAGGCCCATCCTGGGCCCAGGAGCGGTGTATACGCCCTCCTGGCCTGGCCAGGGAGGCATATGCACAGCTCCTGGGCCCAGGATGGGCCTGGCCAGGAGCAGTGGATATGCATAGAGCTCGTCGCCCTATGCTGTGCAACCCCGGGCGCTGCCCGGAACCTTTGGGCGCCTGTTCGGCGCGCCCGCACGCGGCGCCCGTCACGCCGGCGCCGCCGCCGGCCGCGGCACCCCGCGCCTTCGCAGCAGGGGGCAAACGGGCCCCGAGGAAAGAAAAGGCCCCGGACCTCGGGGCCTCCGCCTCCTCCTCCTCCTCCTCCTCCTCCTCCTCATCGTCCTCCTCCTCCTCTTCCTCCTCTTCCTGTTCCTGCTCTTCCTCCTATTCCTCCTTCTCCTCCACCTCCTCCTCCTCCTCCTCCTCCTCCTCCTCCTCCTATTCCTCCTCTTCCTCCTCCTCCTGAGAATCATTTGTGAGCATCGGTTTCAGCCGGTCCCGTCCTTGGATCCGACGTGGCAGACGAAAACTGCAACACCGCAAAAAAGTCACGCCCTTCGAACCCTAGACCCCACTTCTCCGCCCGAAAAAAAAAGCACGCCAGGACTTCAGGGCGGGGCCCCGGGAGGGCCCTGAAGCCCCGAAAACGCCCCGCCCATGGCGCGGGCCCTCCATGGCGCCCCTCGCCCCGAGCGCCTTCGCCGGCCCTGGGCCCCGCGCGCCGCGCGCGCCCGTGGCGCGGGTCGGCCCCGTCGGGGCCTGGGCGCCGGCGGCGCGGTCGGCCATGCAGGGCCACGAGGAGGAGCGGCGGAGGGCCGGCGCATCCTGAGGGCGACGCAATATCCTCCTCCTCCTCCTCCTCCTCCTCCTCCTCCTCCTCCTCCTCCTCCTCCTCCTCCTCCTCCTCCTCCTCCGGCGGAGGTGGAGCGGCGGAGGGCCGGCAGCCCCTTGGCGCTGCCATATCTTCACCATGAGCGTTTTCGCCCCGTTTCGGGTCTCGGGGCCCTCACTCTTATCGATTCCATTCGAAAAATGTCGCAGAAGAAAGGGTCTGGGACTCCGCTCGGCATTTCTTCGGTGTTTCAATCCCACCAGCCCTTCAGGGCGTAGGTGGTCTAGGGCGTTTCCTCTGCCAACCCCTTTCTTTCCCTTCGGGGAGGGGTTTACCCCTCCCCTTACCCCTGCCCACCGACCTGGACGAGGGGTTCCGCGGGTCGTTGGGACGTCCAAGATGGCCCAAGACGGCTCCAAGAGCGAAAAAGCACAAAACATTGATTTTCCTTAGGTTTTGGAAGGATTTTGGCCTCAAGAAGGGCCCAAGAGGCGATTCGAGGCACTCTAGAGGGGCAGCGCTAATATACGACCCCCCCTTCTTTGATAGATCTCCTCCAAGATGGCCCCAAGAGCGCCCCGAAGGCTCCCACGAGCGCCCCAAGAGCGCCCCAAGAGGGCCCCAAGAGGCCCCAAGAGGCCCCCAAGAGGCTTCCAAGAAGCTCCCAAGAGACCCCCAAGAGGCCCCAAGAGGCTCCCAAGATGGCCCAAGACGGCTCCAAGAGCGAAAAAGCGAAAAAACATAAAGAAATGACTTTCCTTAGGTTTTGGAAGGATTTTGGCCTCAAGAAGAGCCCAAGAGGCGATTCGAGGCACTCTAGAGGGGCAGCGCTAATATACGACCCCCCCTTCTTTGATAGATCTCCTCCAAGATGGCCCCAAGAGCGCCCAGAAGGCTCCCAAGAGCGCCCCAAGAGCGCCCCAAGAGGGCCCAAGAGGAAGAGGCCTCCAAGAGGCCCCCAAGAGACCTCCGAGAGGCCCCAAGAGGCTCCCAAGATGGCCCAAGACGGCTCCAAGAGCGAAAAAGCGAAAAAACACAGAACATTGATTTTCCTTCGGTTTTGGAAGGATTTTGGCCTCAAGAAGGGCCTCAGAGGCGATTCGAGGCACTCTAGAGGGGCCGCGCTAATATACGACCCCCCCCTTCTTTGACAGATCTCCTCCAAGCTGGCCCCAAGAGCGCCCAGAAGGCTCCCAAGAGCGCCCCAAGAGCGCCCCAAGAGGGCCCCAATAGGCCCCAAGAGGCCCCCAAGAGGCCTCCAAGAGGCCCCCAAGAGACCCCCAAGAGGCCACAAGAGGCTCCCCGATATACGCAAGAGGCCCCCGGGACCGCCAAGAGGCCCCAAAGACGGCCCAAGAGGCCCTCAAGCTCGCCATTGTCCTCCTCCTCCTCCTCCTCCTCCTACTTTTTTTCTTCCTCCTCCCCCTCCCCCTCCCCCTCCTCCTCCTCCTCCTCCTCTCCTCCTCCTCCTCCTCCTCCTCCTTCTCCTTTTCCTCCTTTCGTCCTCCTCGTCCTTCGCAGTCCTCCATCACCCATCCTCCTCCTCATCTCTTCTTCCTCCTCCTCCTCCTCCTCCTCCTCCTCCTCCTCCCCCTCCTGCTCCTGCTCCTCCTCCTGCTCCTCCTCTTCCTCCTCCTAGTCCGACGACGACGGCTCCTCCTACATCCTCCCCCTCTTGGGGTATGTGGCGGCTCACCCCGCCCTTTGTTATTTTGCATGCTCCCCCGCTTCCCTCATAACCTCCACTCCCCTGGGACTCATTTCTGAACGGGCTGGTGGGGATACGCGAAGCGTCTATAATTTCTTCGCGACGTCGGATCTCAGGGGTTATCTGTTGGGAAACACGGGTGGAGAAGATCCTGCGTACGACTGTATAACAAACGCCTTCAACATACGCGATGAAACGGGAAGTATGATAATCATCCCGGCCCCGTCCTCCCAACCCGATGCTTGCCCACCGGTCGGAAGAATTGGGTGGAAACGTGAAGTGATGTCAGCTCGTGAATAACATACACACACGGGGCATGCGATTAAAACGTGGTTTCCCTGCTCGGGCGAATGGCGCCCGCCAGATTGGGACACGCGGCGGCGGCGCCGGCGATGAACGCCGACGCCCAGCCGCCAGCGAAAAGTCGACAGGAGCGGCGCGGACTTGAGGGGGGGGGGGCGAGACGCACGGGCGGCAGAGGCAGGACCGTCGGCGCCGCCACCGCCGCGTGATTTCCTTGTGTCACCATCGAACGGAGCTCCCGTCGCCGCGGTGGAAGCGGGCCCTGAAGGAAGCGGGCCCAGAACCCTGGACTTCCCGCCAGGACCAGCTCGGTCGTTTCTCGGCTGCCTCGGGGCCCGCCGGGGGCCTGGGGACCCGAAAGCGGGAAAAGCCTGCCAAAACCCGGTGCCCGCAGGACATGCGTCCCCCGCAGCGAGGCCGGAACTGCGAGCCGCTCAGGCGCAGAGCGAGGCTCGGCGCGTCCGAAAGGGGCGTGGGGAAAAATGGGCACGACGTCCACCAGGAAGTGTCGTTCAAAACCGACAGCGGCCGCTTTCGGGCAACGGGGCTCAAAGCATCGAATTGACAGCGTCCGCGGCGACATCCACAAGATGCAAAACTGCTGTCGGTGTTCTTCCCCGCACATTCCGTGCCCGTTTCGATCGCACCCGAGAGCTGCCTTTGCGAGGCGCCGGCTGGCTCGCTGGCCCGCTGGCACGGCGGGCCAGACCAGAAGGGGGGGAGAACAACGGGGAGGGGGCAACAAACCAGCTCACGCAATTAGCTGATTTTCCTCGCGTCTCCTGGCGCCGAAGGCAACCATGCGTCGAGGAATGGGCCCCTCGACGGGACCGACACCAGCTGCACGCAGCAGATTTCGTATTCCCCTCTTTTTTTCTCCTCCTCCTCCTCCTCCTCCTCCTCCTCCTCCTCCTCCTCCTCCTCCTCCTCCTCTCCTGCTCCTCCTCCCCCTCCCCTCCTCCTCCCCCCTCCTCCCTCCCCCCTCCTCCTCCCCCCTCCCTCCTCCTCCTCCTCCCATCCTCCTCCTCCTCCTCCTCTCCTCCTCCTCCTCCTCCTCCTCCTCCTCCTCCTTCTCCTCTCCCCCTCCCCCTTCCCCCTCCCCCTCCCCTCCCTCCTCTCCTTTCCTCCCTCCTTCCTCCTACTCCCTCCTGCTCGCTCTCTCTCCTCTCCTCTCTCCTCCTCCTCCTCCTCCTCCTCTCCTCCTCTCTCTTCCTCCTCTGCCTCCTCTCCTCCTCTCCTCCCTCCTCCTCCTCCCTCCCCTCCTCTCCTCCTCCTCCCTCCTCCTCCTCCTCCTCCTGCTCCTCCTCCTCCCCTCGCCCTCCTCCTCCTCCTCCTCCTCCTCCTCCTCGTTCATGCTGTTTGCCATCATCCGCGGCGCGGTGGCTCCCCGAACTCTCCGAGCCCTGGCACGCGTGATCAAAACAAACAATGGTTCGCGCCCAGCGGGGTCTGTTCATCAGCCCCAGGGGGCACCATTTGCTAATCGCAGGCTGCTGAAATTCGGAAGGCGTTGGGAGTAGGTTGGATCTTCGCCCGCCCCCTGGAAGAGGAGGAAGCAGGGAAAACCGCCCGACCCTTGAAGTAGGAAGGCGCCTAAAATACCTTCGGGGCTTGAGCATCCAAAAATACAGTGGGAGTCCGACCTCAAGAAACCTTCCACAAGAAACCCAACCCTGGAACGCCAGGGCGTCCCTTGATCTCTGATGTGGGAGCGTCACGCTTTCCACGGCAAAACCATCGAAACCCAAGAAACCCACGGCACTCTGGAGGCAAGCACGGTGCTTCTTGGCATGCTTGTTCCACTGTGCCCACTTTCAACGACTGGCGTGCATCGCTCCGAGAGGGGAAGGCGCACCGACCCGCGGGGCCTTCACAGGCCCATGAAATCCAGGCCCAGAGCCCTGTGCGAGCCCAGAGGAGCGAAGAGCGGCCAACGTCGGGCATGTCCTCCTACAGGCGGATTTCAGAAGAAAAAGGATAAATAGTCACAAAATACAAAGAATTGTCAGGAATCATAAGAAATCGTTCCCAGACTATTCTTCCTGTATGGGGGACACGCCCGACTCAAGGCCAAGCATGACTTTCCACGGAGGTCCGCGCGGATCTCTGGCGTTGGCGCTGCACCCCCCCCCCTCCCTGGCGCGAGGCGCCGCCAGGGGGGGGGGGCCCAGCGCCGACCAAAGACATCCGCGCAGGGCTCCGAGAAATCATGTTCAAGCCGCGTTTGTTCTTCGAGTGTCGGCTCCCGGCCAGGCCGAAGAGGGCATACAGAGACCAGGGCTCGGCCCGAGGTAGGCCCGTGGGTGCCCGGTGGTGGTGTGCTCACCAGGGGTCGACCTAGACCATGGTATTCGCCTTCGTTTCGTTCTCGTGTTCCCTCGTTTTGTCTTCGTTCCGCCTTTGCTGCAAACGATATCGAAACGAAACAGGCCCATTAAATCGCCAAAACACCGTCTAGGTCAAATCCTGGTGCTCACTCCCTCGCCCGAGTCCTGCTCCTCAGCGTCCTCATCCACTTCGATGAACGTGTTGCGCACCCGGACGCAGGAGTGCATCACGGAGGGTGCCGCCTTGCTCTTGGGCGGCAGCGTGAATGGTTTGCACGATACCTGCCCGCGCTTCGAGTTAACAACTTGCTTCGCCTCGGCTGGCCCGAACGAGGAGAGCATCGACGGACAGGCGGTCTGCAGCAAGACGCCGTACACGTTCAGAAGCTCAGGGGATGCGATGACGCCACTAGACTCGTCAGGAGCTTGAGTGAAAAGTGTAGTCGCCAAAGAGTGGCAATTACGTCCAGAACCCATGAGCACTGCACCGCGGGACAGTTGCTTGCTCATTTGCGCTGGATATGCGTACCTGGCTTGGTGGTAAGAGTCTGTTTGCTGTCACCCTCTCGAGCCAAAGGCTGCAGCTTCGGCTGTGGACCGGCACGTAGCATTGCCTAGAATCAATGGGTGGTAACGCCTGTTGGATAATGTATGTGATAATTCCTTTATTCCCTCTGTGCGAGTCCCTCAATGAACCTCAAAGAACCTCGGCAATATCCTACCAGGAGGTCCCGAGATTCGAGAGAGCGTCTTCTGGTATCTTCAGTACACTAAGCTCCCACGCTCAGGAACCGCCCCCCCCACGAAAGTCTCCCGCCTCCTTTCCGGAACCAGGATCCCCCCCCTTCCCCGACAGGAACCTCCCTCTTTCCAAACAAAATCAGGGAGGGAACTCGAACCTCCTCACCCACCCGTCGCCCCCCGCAAACGACGTCGTCGTCGCCCCTCCATCACCCCCCCCTCGCCGCCGGCAAGCGACGTCGCACGACGACAACGTCGTCATCGCCATCGTCGTCGTCATCGCAATCGCTGGCGCTGTCGCCGTCGCTGTCGCCGTCGTCGTCGTCGTCGTCGTCATCGTCGTCGTCGTCGTCGTCATCGTCGCCGCCGCCGTTGCCGTCGCCGTCGCCGTCGCCGTTGCCGTCGCCGTCGCCGTCGCCATCGCCATCGCCGTCGCCATCGCCGTCGCCGTCGTTGTCGTCGTCGCTGTTGTTGTCGTCGGCGTCGGCGTTGTCGTGGTCGTCGTTTGCCAAAGAGTCGGTCGGGCGGGCGGAACACGTCGTCGTGGGCGAGTCGGTCGGGCGGACAGGCGGGACACATTGTCGTCGACGTAGTCGTCGTCCTCGTCGTCGTTTGCCGGCGCCAGGCGTCGTCGCGGTGGCCGTCGCTGTCGTCGTCGTCATCGTCGTCGTCGTCATCGTCGTCGTCATGGGCGAGTCCGTCGGTCGGGCGGGACACTTCGTCGACGTTGTCGAAGTCGAGTCTGTCGGGCGGGCAGGCGAGTCACGTCGTCGTCGTCGTCGTCGTCGTCGTCGTCGTCGTCGTTGTCGCCGTCGTCGTCGTCGTCGTCGTCGTCGTCGTCGTCGTCGGCGGCGGCGGCGGCGGCGGCGGCGGCGCAGGCGGCGGCGTCGTCGTCGTCGTCGGTCGTTGTCGTCATCGTTTGCCGGCGCCAGACGTCATCGCCGTCGTGATGCTCATCGTCGTCTTCGCTTCCTGGCGCGGGGGGGGAGTTCGACGATCGTTCCCCGGCTTCCATACTCTGGAAAGTGGGGGGAGCGGGGTTTAAACCCCCCACGACTTTTGAGAGGGGGGGAGGGGAGGAGGAGGAGGAGGAGTAGGAGTAGGAGTCAAGCTAGCCAGCTCGAGCGAGTCAAGCATGGCATGCCCAGTCCCACCCGCCCTCCCACAACATAAGAAGCAAAGCTGGCACAACTGGGGGCCGAAGTCACACCGGCCAGCCGGTTTGGTACAGCTGATGCGGCCGCGATGGCGGGTGCCGACGGGAACTGGCGAGCGCGTGTTGAATGCCGCGCACGCATTGCCAGACGAGTCGAGAATGGCCCGGTACACCGCAGGAAGCCAGAGGTGGCCGGAGGAAGCCCGACGGTCTGACAGGACACCACAAAGCATTTTTGTGAAAAAGCATTTGGTTTTTGATGTTTTTATGTTGAAATGCTTGCAAACACACGGTGTTCGGTAGGATTCTGACATGAACGCGCGAGTGTGCTCTTTGTAATATTTTTTGCACAGGATTCGCGGCCTGGGTGCATGACAGAGCATCGCGAGTGCACCGCGCGATGACGCGAAATCGCTGGATTTGACCGAATTCTTGAGATTCCCATGGTTTTCCTATGATTTCAGCAAGAGAGCCCGGGCGGGAAATTTGTACAATTTTTTGGTAAAAAAACATTGGGTTTTTGATGTTTTTATGTTGAAATGCTTGCAAACACACGGTGTTCGGTAGGATTCTGACATGAACGCTTGCGTATGCTCTTTGTGGTATTTTTTGCAATGGATTATCGCCGTGGACGACAGGACGTCATGTCGAGAGGAAAAAATAAGA